TTATTTCGAGTAGCCAATTAATAAAATCATATAAGAGATGGTATGATCGAAATTTGTAAATAATTAAAAATTTGAACACCCTTACATTTAGCTGAGAGCCCCTCCACGGAGAGGTTTCTAAGTTTGAGATATTTCAATTTGGTCTTTTAACGTTTGTAAAACTTTTCAAAACATTGCAAAGTTGCCCCCTCCCCTTGCGTCCCAATATTTTGTTCCTATTTTGATTGAGCCCCTAGTGTTGAATTTCTGGCTCTTGTAGCCTGCCGAGGTTTCCGTAAAAGTTCAAGGTCAATTATATGCAAATTTCATCTAACTCAATATTTGAAAGGTTTCTAACATTTGATTTAAAATTGATCTTTATTGGATAATAGATACGGCTCAACAAATTTTTAAATTAGATTTAAAAATTAAATTTGATAATCACAACTATTGAATAGGTAGTGTGTCACAATAAATACTAAAATTCACAGTGAAATTAATGATTATATTTATCAAGTATTTTGTGTTAATTTCTCCCAAATACTAATGAGACGGGACCCTTTGGAGTTTACAGTATAACTGATGTTTTGTTGTAGGGCAATGTGAAACCAATTTAATCGATTGAGCAAGCAATGGCTAAAACTCAATAATAGGAGTGATGTGGAATAGAGGTCAACATTTGAAGGAGAATAGCACAAGTTTCTCAACCCAAAAAGCTGATTGGACTAATTCATTCTGTTAGAGCAATCATTGATGCAATGGTACCTAGACAAAAAAAAGGTGAAGCAATGTCACATGAATGTACATAACATTGTCTTGAAAGTGTAAAAACAAGCCTCATTTTGAAAGAGTTATCCCATTCCCATCAAAGATAAAAGAGTTCCCATTGCTTAACTGAAGAAATAGAAGGCTTCCCATTATACACAGTTTGGTGTGAACCCAACATCATATAGACAAGTATATCTCTTTCCCACTTGATTTGCTTGACATAATTCCCTCAGCAACTTGCTCATTTACTGTGTGATAGTCAAACTCACTTTAAAAATTATTGATTTGTAAAGCTGGTATGAGCTGTGCATCAATTTGATCACTGTTGAAACTCTGTAGCAGAATCCAGATTCTCATAATACTTTCTCTTTGTAGTGACAGGGGTCTTGATTGTTGGCAGGGTGTCAGTCAGGTGAGTTGTGAGCTCAATTCGGATTTAATTTATATTATTAAACACTTAATATCTATGCAATTCAAACCCAAATACAACCTGGATACTGTCAATGTTTAAAACTTTGAACTTGGGATAAATTTAGGTTCCCCAATTCCGATTGAAATTCAAGTTTGCACAATTCACGTTATAATTCTAGTTGAAATTCTGACTGAGATTGAATTTGATCATCAAACTACTCAAACTAGAATTCGGTTCCAACTCAAATTGAACCCAAATTTCCTAATTTTGATTGGTTCAGGTTGGTTAGTGAGAACCAAGGACTCAAGCCGGAGTACTCCACTAGAAAGTAATAGAGTTGAGATTCTTTACCCAAGTTCAACTTAAATCCTAAGAATCTTTACCTCAACATTGAACATTACTGGTTAACCAGCCCAAGTTACACTGTTGGTTCTCGCTCTCACCTTAAGGCTGACTGGGAAGACGGATCTATCTTCTTGGACATCTCTGCTATACTTGTGTTGAGTGTGTGCGTATGCCCCTGGTTTTCCAGGCTTTTGTATATAAACAAAAAAGGTCAATTATACTTTGTGTCTTGACAAATTTAAGGAGCTTTTCCCCTGCCCCCTCAAAACTTAATTCTCAAAATCAGTCATTTTTAAACTTAATTCCCAAACTCAGTTTTTTTTTAAAACCGTCATTTAAAATGACGTATTCTCACCTAAAAACGTCNATATTTGAAAGGTTTCTAACATTTGATTTAAAATTGATCTTTATTGGATAATAGATACGGCTCAACAAATTTTTAAATTAGACTTAAAAATTAGATTTGATGATCACAATCATTAAATAGGTAGTGTGTCACAATAAGTACTGAAATCCACAATAAAATTAATGATTATATTTATCAAGTATTTTGNACAAAGAGATGAAAATATCATTTTGAATGACATTTTTAAAAATTTAGGGGTTGAAAACGTCATTTAAGAAAACCTAGGTAAATGTTTTAAAATTTTTTTACCCTCTCTCAGTCCAGTCGGTCTCTCCTCTCTCACAGATCGGTCCTCCCTCCTCCAACCAATCAGCCCACTGTCTCAGATTGATCGATCTCTCCTCCTTCACCTACAACCACCGTCTTCTCCGACAAGATCAAACGACTCNCAACCCAAAAAGCTGATTGGACTAATTCATTCTGTTAGAGCAATCATTGATGCAATGGTACCTAGACAAAAAAAAGGTGAAGCAATGTCACATGAATGTACATAACATTGTCTTGAAAGTGTAAAAACAAGCCTCATTTTGAAAGAGTTATCCCATTCCCATCAAAGATAAAAGAGTTCCCATTGCTTAACTGAAGAAATAGAAGGCTTCCCATTATACACAGTTTGGTGTGAACCCAACATCATATAGACAAGTATATCTCTTTCCCACTTGATTTGCTTGNGAAATTTTGTGTAATATTTCTTTAATTTCATGTTGATTGTGTAGATAAGTTTGCTACGGTTTGTCAATGTGATGTGCTACTTCATAATCTCTTTACAGTGTGCTGTAAAGTGTCGATATCTCTTGTTTTGGCTTTGTTTATATGGGCGTGCATTCAACTTCTTTTTCAGAGTGCGGAATCTTATGATTCTTGACAATGTACCAGTTCAAACTTATCAGATTTAGCGTAATTATAGGCGGATCATAATCNAGGGTGTAAGTCAGGTGAGTTGTGAGCTCAATTCGGATTTAATTTATATTATTAAACACTTAATATCTATGCAATTCAAACCCAAATACAATCTGGATACTGTCAATGTTTAAAACTTTGAACTTGGGATAAATTTAGGTTCCCCAATTCCGATTGAAATTCAAGTTTGCACAGTTCACGTTATAATTCTAGTTGAAATTCTGACTGAGATTGAATTTGATCATCAAACTACTCAAACTAGAATTCGAATTGAATTCGGTTCCAACTCAAATTGAACCCAAATTTCCTAATTTTGATTGGTTCAGGTTGGTTAGTGAGAACCAAGGACTCAAGCCGGAGTACTCCACTAGAAAGTAATAGAGTTGAGATTCTTTACCCAAGTTCAACTTAAATCCTAAGAATCTTTACCTCAACATTGAATATTACTGGTTAACCAGCCCAAGTTACACTGTTGGTTCTCGCTCTCACCTTAAGGCTGACTGGGAAGACGGATCTATCTTCTTGGACATCTCTGGTATACTTGTGTTGAGTGTGTGCGTATGCCCCTGGTTTTCCAGGCTTTTGTATATAAACAAAAAAGGTCAATTATACTTTGTGTCTTGACAAATTTAAGGAGCTTTTCCCCTTCCCCCTCAAAACTTAATTCCCAAAATCAGTCATTTTTAAACTTAATTCCCAAACTTAGTCTTTTTTTAAAAACGTCATTTAAAATGACGTATTCTCATCTAAAAACGTCATTTGAAATGACGTTTTTGAAATTTAAATTTTTTCTCTGAAAACGTCATTTCTAATGATATTTTTAAAGTCGTCATTTAGAATAATGTTTTTTAATATAGTTTTTTTAAACAGCAGTAACAAACATTAAAAAATTACAAAGAGATGAAAATATCATTTTGAATGACATTTTTAAAAATTTAGGGGTTGAAAACGTCATTTAAGAAAACCTAGGTAAATGTTTTAAAAATTTTTTACCCTCTCTCAGTCTAGTCGGTCTCTCCTCTCTCACAGATCGGTCCTCCCTCCTCCAACCAGTCAGCCCACTGTCTCAGATTGATCGATCTCTCCTCCTTCACCTGCAACCACCGTCTTCTCCGACAAGATCAAACGACTTAGCCCCTGTCCTACGAAACTAGCCCCTGTTCAACTCTATTAGCTGCGACTGGGATTTCAGACCAGACCACTCTCTTTATCTGCTACGTTCTCATCTTCAGAAAGGTTAGAACTACGATTTGTGTTTTGATTTAAGGATTTGTTGATTATATAGTTTTGGTGGGTTTTGTTCTTGAACGAATTGATTTTTTACCCATCTATTTTTTTTTTGAATTACCACTGGATGTTTTGGAAATTTTGTGTAATATTTCTGTAATTTCATGTTGATTGTGTAGATAAGTTTGCTACGGTTTGTCAATGTGATGTGCTACTTCATAATCTCTTTACAGTGTGCTGTAAAGTGTCGATATCTCTTGTTTTGGCTTTGTTTATATGGGCGTGCATTCAACTTCTTTGTCAGAGTGCGGAACCTTATGATTCTTGACAATGTACCAGTTCAAACTTATCAGATTTAGCGTATTTATAGGCGGATTATAATCGGGAGATGAAATNTGACAATGTACCAGTTCAAACTTATCAGATTTAGCCTACTTATAGGCAAATCATAATCGGGGGATGAAAGACTTATGCTATTTGTTTATCAACTGTAATTTGTCCTTTTTCCTTCGTGGTGATGAGGAACCAATCAAAATACCCCATCCCAATTTTATTGTGAAAGTTCTAGGAGGGTCGGAAACTTGTGTTGATAATTTAAGTAGGTAAGGATTCTTTCTCTCACATTCTTCTTTTATTCTTCCTAGTTTTCTTTTATTGAATTTTCTTTGATTGTTTAGCTATTATGATGCTTACTCTATAGTACTCCCACCGTTATTCTTTCACATTTTTCTTTCTGATTATCCACAACTAGCTTCTTTTTTATTTTGTAGTATGCAATAGCTTGCCCATATCCTCTATTTACTTATATTGATTTATCAAGCGCACATGCAGCATGTGCAGTGTCTATACATGTTCTGGCCTTGAATTTGGTAAACTTTACACCAGGATCATGCAGAGTGTACAATCCCTTATTTCAGAGTTAATATTACTATTTTTGATATTAAATGTTTAGAAGACTCCTGCATGTTGCTTGTTGCTTTTGATATTAAATGTAAGAATTGATCCCATGTAGCACCCACTACATGGTGATCAAAATTCCAACTAATTCCAAATTTTAGCTTCACAAGTGCACAGTTTGTTTTTCCCCTTTGTTCCCATGGTCTTGTTTGTAATGTAGGAATGGAGAGCTAGGCTACTTATGGAACAACTTTACACCCACTAAATGTTTGTTGTCATCCCACTTTAGGGAACAATATCTATGGAGATGATGTAAGGGAAACCCTCCTAAGATTGCAGAAGGAAGGGACTAATGCAAATACTGCTTACATCCTCNTAGCACCCACTACATGGTGATCAAAATTCCAACTAATTCCAAATTTTAGCTTCACAAGTGCACAATTTGTTTTTCCCCTTTGTTCCCACGGTCTTGTTTGTAATGTAGGAATGGAGAGCTAGGCTACTTATGGAACAACTTTACACCCACTAAATGTTTGTTGTCATCCCACTTTAGGGAACAATATCTATGGAGATGATGTAAGGGAAACCCTCCTAAGATTGCAGAAGGAAGGGACTGATGCAAATGCTGCTTACATCCTTATGCAAAGAATTTTTCCAAACATATATCCTGCTATTCTGACGAGGAATGGCATCTGTCATAAAGATCATGCCATATCAGAACTTGGTATATATGGTGCTTATCTAAGGTAACTAGAGTGTGTCATTGCTCCCACAACCAATGAGTTTTTCATGCACCATAACTTTTATTTTTCACCTGATTATACATGGCCAACCACTCACTTCGGCAATGAGCTCCATAGAAAATTAGAGTAACCTTTAACNCTAAGATTGCAGAAGGAAGGGACTGATGCAAATGCTGCTTACATCCTTATGCAAAGAATTTTTCCAAACATATATCCTGCTATTCTGACGAGGAATGACATCTGTCATAAAGATCATGCCATATCAGAACTTGGTATATATGGTGCTTATCTAAGGTAACTACAGTGTGTCATTGCTCCCACAACCAATGAGTTTTTCATGCACCATAACTTTTATTTTTCACCTGATTATACATTGGCCAACCACTCACTTCGGCAAGGAGCTCCATAGAAAATTAGAGTAACCTTTAACAGAAATATTACATTAGATTTTTCTTGGAAATCCACCCAAACTAGTATCTTGTGTAAATATCATTGTATCCTATATGATACAGTTAAAAGGCATGCGTATTGACAATGTGTATTGTGGCTAACAAGGCATGCGTATTCAAATCCTGTGGGCAATCTATTTGGGTGTTGCCTTGGTGGGTGGTGTTGCATGTGTGTTGCTTTTGGCCTTTACAGGTGTTGTGTGCAAGTGTAGTCTTTGTATGTGTTAATTCCATGTTGCTTAAACTTAAATCAGTAAATTTATTTTGTTATATTTGTTTGTGGCAGGTGTGGAAGGAAGATTGTCTTGTGTGTTACTGAATTGTGGCAGTTATGTAGCTCCATCAAAAAGAAAAACAACTCGGAACATAATTTTTTTCTTAATTTCTTGTAGCTAAAGTTGTATATATTTTAAATACAACTCAATTGTTGAATTTTTTTCTTTTGGAGTGTAAATTGTATTCACACATTCATGTGTGCAAATATGTCANAAATCCTGTGGGCAATCTATTTGGGTGTTGCCTTGGTGGGTGGTGTTGCATGTGTGTTGCTTTTGGCCTTTACAGGTGTTGTGTGCAAGTGTAGTCTTTGTATGTGTTAATTCCATGTTGCTTAAACTTAAATCAGTAAATTTATTTTGTTATATTTGTTTGTGGCAGGTGTGGAAGGAAGATTGTCTTGTGTGTTACTGAATTGTGGCAGTTATGTTGCTCCATCAAAAAGAAAAACAACTCGGAACATGATTTTTTTCTTAATTTCTTGTAGCTGAAGTTGTATATATTTTAAATACAACTCAATTGCTGAATTTTTTTCTTTTGGAGTGTAAATTGTATTCACACATTCATGTGTGCAAATATGTCAAAATGTACAATTCAAGCAGCTTGAAGTTTTTATTGATCCCAGATCCTTGTCCAACAGACTTGTCCCTTTTTGAATATCCTGCAGTTGAAATGAGATTTTACACTGGGCTACCCTTTTTTTCGTTGAACAACTTGAGAAAGTGTTTAACATCATTTTGGTACATAGAAACATAACTACAGGAAATGGATATTACTTTTTCAGAAGGGAGGATTAGTTGATATGCTGAGNCTCGGAACATGATTTTTTTCTTAATTTCTTGTATCTAAAGTTGTGTATATTTTAAATACAACTCAATTGCTGAATTTTTTTCTTTTGGAATGTAAACTGTATTCACACATTCATGTGTGCAAATATGTCAAAATGTACAATTCAAGCAGCTTGAAGTTTTTATTGATCCCAGATCCTTGTCCAACAGACTTGTCCCTTTTTGAATATCTTACAGTTGAAATGAGATTTTACACTGGACTACCCTTTTTTTCGTTGAACAATTTGAGAAAGTGTTTAACATCATTTTGGTACATAGAAACATAACTACAGGAAATGGATATTACTTTTTCAGAAGGGAGGATTAGTCGATATGCTGAGACTAGCATTTTAGAATTTAATTCTGTTTTCATGATAATTTTGAACTTATTTTATAATCAAAAATAAAATTCATAAAAGCATAATTTTTTTTTCTTCAGAAAATACCATTTTATTTATTAATAAAGCAGCAATTACAAGAAGCAAAGGAAAGACATATATGCCTTACCAGAAAACAACTCAAAAATAAGGCACACCCGCCTATCAAAGCAAACAAAATATAGTCCAAAACAGTAAGCTCCCAGACCAGTATATTCATGGCAGTCACCCTCCTCATAAACCCTTTTCTTCCCTTTCAAAATGTTTTAGACAAATCAACACTTTATCAAGTGCAGATTTCAGTAAAAACATGGCAATCAGCCCTTATCACAAACATAAGCCTTTTCTTTTTACGCAAAACCGGTAATCCCATTTGATCATTACGCAGAGCAGACCTAACCTCGCTGGGAAGCTGCAAATGAATCGAAGAAACAANTGGCAGTCACCCTCCTCATAAACCTTTTTCTTCCCTTTCAAAATGTTTCAAACAAATCAGCACTTTATCAAGTGCAGATTTCAGTAAAAACATGGCAATCAGCCCTTATCATCAAACATAAGCCTTTTCTTTTTACGCAAAACCGGTAATCCCATTTGATCATTACGCAGAGCAGACCCAACCTCGCTGGGAAGCTGCAAATGAATCGAAGAAACAGNAGACTTACTGGCACAGGAAAATTGATTGATTAATTATTAACACAAAAAAATAAGAAAATTTTTAGAAATTTAAAATAATATGCTAGAACATTTGAGAGTGGGCCACACAACTTCTCTGCTTCAACGTCATCTTTGGTTGGATCTTATGATCGAATCTTATGGGTACCACCGTAACTGTCTTATCTGTTGAGAAGGTAACATCAGCTCCATCAGATTAACCACTTAGTTACTGATAAGTTGTCTCAATCCGTNGGGAAGCTGCAAATGAATCGAAGAAACAGTAGATGTCCTCTCCAGCACAGCTTGATTCGCAAGCCTATCAGCAACATTGTTGGCCTCACGAAAAATGTGCTTCAGTTGATAGTTCAAATCCCCTAATAACTCTTTAATCTGTCTTAAATATTCCAGGCAAGACCAGGGGCAATCAGAAACCCCCAAAATAGAATTTACCAAAACCAAGGCGTCACTTTCTTGAGAAGATTCACAAGTTTGACTGCCCCGTATTCTGAAATGTAAAGAGGCCTCCCAAAAATTTTCTGGTACTCAGCATGTACACGAGTAAGAGACAGACATCCTCCTGACAGTTCAAGCAACTTTACCAGCTGCCCCTTCAAACCATTTATATCTCCAGGCTGTACCCACATCAAGTCATTCTGGTCACAAGAAGCAACAGGTCCGGCTGAAACTTCATTCAAACCAGAAGGGAGACTATGTGATCTCAAAGTTGTAGGAAAACAAGGCATGGATATTGAAGAACTATTGTATTCGGATAAAGACTGTGATATGGCCATTTCACCCATATAGTCTTCAAGATAACATTACAAGAGAATTTAATCTGCAACCAATCAAGAAAATCTTTTCCACCAGACTCATCAGGGGCTTTAGGTTTTACATTCCTAACTTGATACCGTAAAATACTGCATATCTTTTGTTGTGATCGTGCAGCAATTATGGTGAATAGTAAGGAATCAAACAATTAAGAAAGCAGGAGAAAATAACACACAGAGATTTACGTGGTTCGGCAATGTGCCTACATCCACGAGAGCTAGCGGCTGTTCTTTTCCTTATTGAAGTAAGGTTACATCTTAAGTATTTATATAACCCTAATATGGACATATTTACAAAAATACCCCTGTACCGTATCGCGGGGGCGTTGCCCCCGCACCCCCAACTTATCAGTGTCCCCTATATATAAATCCCGCAAAGCAGATGCCGTCACGGGCTCCGCTCCGACATCTGCCTCCTTGCCATTATGCACATAGCAAAATATGAGCCACACATACTCTAACATCCTTATAAAGACAGAATAAGAATTTAATATCCCCTCACCCGCTAGTCTTCGACATCTTTCTTTCCATAATTGCCAAAAGATAAGCAAAGGAATACTTCTAAATAAGCTGAAGTATTGGGGCATTAAGCTGAATTATATGCAACAACTAGAGCGTGGCCAATCTGTTTTCTCTGTACATCCAACGCCGAGGAGCAACGGCGAATATTTCCTTACCTTGAGTGACAATTATCAATAGAACAATTAAAAATTGACCAATACATACTAACCAATACATATGCATCTGGTATAACAACAGAAAGCAAATGGAGCATACCAACCAAGCTCTCTGCATATTTCGCATGCGCAAGCTTCGCCTCTGGAGGATCTTCTCCATGACAGACCCATCTAGGAAAGAATCTGGGTTTTCATCGGTATCCAGATCTTCAACCTGATTGTTTGACATTGTTTCATTTGAATTTCCATGGGGGTTTCCAGAACTCAGCTGCATTCTGTCAAGATGTTCCTAAAGCAAACCCTCTACTCTCCTTTGCAAACTTAGTGGTATAACCACCTGCACAAATGGGTCAAAAGCTTTCCAATCCTCACATGCTTGATGAGGTATGCCTGCCCCTCTCTCTCTCTCTTCAAAGTAGATGATTTTGCTGAGGTTTGTGATGACTTTGTTCACCTAGTGAAGCTAAAACTTGATTTTCTTGATTTTGAAAGTGAAAGTTTTTAGAAAAATTGTGTTTGGGTTTCAAGAGAGTTGGGAATTCTGAATTATATTGTTGTTAAAGGGTCTCTATCAGTTGAGTTGCATCAGATCTTTGAAAGAGTACACATCAAATGATTTATGGGTCAGAATTTTAGTCATGCGTTCTTTTCATCGAGTCTGGCTTGAAGAATTCAACTAAACCAATTCCATCAAATTCAAAAACACATAACATGTAAAATCACACCCAAACACATACATACATATGGAATAGATATACTGACCACTAGGGGTACTTGGGTTCCTCTCTTACCTTTCTTCTTAGCAGAATCTAGAACAAAGAACAGGTTTTAATGATTGATCTGATTTTGAGTTGCGCTAGGGTTTGATTTGAGGGGTTAAGCGCCGGATTAGCATCAGTTAAATCGATCTAGGGCAAAATTCGATTTTGGGCAAAAAATATTTAGGGCAAATATGGAGAATGAAGAATGGAGAATGGAGAATGGAGAAATTGCTCAATCGATGGTGGAGGCTGTGGTCAGTCTCTTTATTTAAGTCGCTGGTGGAGCATGGTGGAAGTCGTCGGTGGAGGTTGTGGTCGCTGGTGGTGGCTTTGTTGAAGTCGCTAGGTGGAGCTTGATTATCATTCATAATGATGTTTTTGAAAAAAAAAAATCAACTATAAATCGTCATTCTAAATGACGTTTTTAGGCAAAAAGGCGTCATTTCAAATGACGTTTTTAAAAAAAGACTGAATTTAAGAATTAAGTTTAAAAATAACTGGGTTATGGAATTTTGAGGGGGCATGAGTTTGGGGAAACCTCCAAATTTAAGAATACTCACTTTACATCTTCAAATATTAGATTTTTTATATTGTATCCTCAATATATTAAAAATATTACAATGTAATCCTTCTAATAATTTTCGCTATTTATTTTGTCAACGTCAATGAAATGAATTTTGATGGAATAAGTAGAAAAATAGAAAATTTTAAATCTTCTGGGTTGCAAAGTAAGATTTTCTAACCATGGCACACAGATTTGGTTATTATCTATGAGTTAAGACAAAGAAGATTCGTAATGTAGCGACTTCCTTGCCCCTTTTTATTTTTATTTTTTTTTGACACGAAACGAAAATTCTTTTGTTGATTAAGAAATAAAAATATCATCTTGGAGGATAGGTACCAAGAAATCCGGTTCGTTATTTTTTTCATATAATACGTTGAGAACATGAAGTAGCATATTTGACTAACGTATGCGTCGCACTATTTTCAGATCTTCGTACCCAAGAGACATTAAACTAATTTACACCATATGTGAATCTTTTAATTTGGTCAACAGAATGTCCAATTTCAGAGAGGTTGGTATGACTCGATTTGATTGCCTCAATAATTCCTTTTTCAATCACCTTCTAATATCATATTTTGATAACTCAGATCAATTGCAAATTTAGTGCCCATGAATGCAGCCCAAGCTTCAGCATGTAAAGCAGTAGTAATACCTTGAATGCATCGGCTAAGACTCGCCACAAATTGACAATTCCAATTTTGAACAACTTTTATACCAATTTTGAGAATGCCAGGACTGGGAGCAGTCCATTGTTAGTCTCAGCAACAATACACTGTTGTGAATCTTGCTGCCTATTTACATTAGCTGCTTACAAAATGGTCCAAGAAAGAAACAGAAATCCACAATCTGCTTTGGCTTTCTTTTGGGTTTGATTTAAGTAAGCTTCATCTTCCGGTACCGTGTAACCATTGGTTACAATCTCTCACAAGTCTAGAGATTCAAGAATCACTTTTACATGGATATACTAATTCTCATAATTATATTTAGTGAATCAAGACATTTGAAATGAAAGCATTCTATTCAACATCCTCTCTCTCTCTCTCTCTCTCCCTTGACACTCAAATATGTATAGCTCTGATACCATTTTGTCTGAATCAAGAGAATCATCATACACTTGAACAAGTATACTCATCTACATACTTTTATCTAATTTTTACTTTTTACTCCTATTTGACTTTTAACTTGTTTTGGACTCTTTTATAAAAAAATTTAAATTCTTTTAAACACATTTATTAGCAATAAAATTATATACAACTTTCTATATACATATGAAAAAGTAAAATCCTATATAATTATACTCTCCTACATATTTTCATCTAATTTTTTTTTTACTCATTTGACTTTCAATTTGTTTAGGATTTTTTTATAAAAAATTTTAAATTCTTTTGAACTTATTTATTAATAGTACAACTATATACAATTTTCTATATCTATATGACAAAATAAAATTCTTTATATATTAAATTATTATACAAATGAAGTTGTCAAATTGAATTTTACAACCAAATATATATTATATTTTGTTTATTGATATGCAATAATATAATAATATTATAAATGATTTAATCAATCTATTTAATAAAATAAAAAATAATAATTTTATAATATAATTAGGTGTGCAAATGTCTAAAGGAGCCAAAGATATACTTAAATAAATAACTGATTTGGTGGTCAAAGCTTATAGAATAAATTAATAATTAAATTTAAAAATAATTAAAATACAAAATTATTATTTGATACTTAATTTATTATTTAATTTAATGACACATATAATTTATGTTATCTATAAAAAAATATTATTTAAATTTATTTACATGAAACGCAGGTCATGCATTACTAGTAAATGAACTAAATGTAAGAATATATATATAACTTATAAAATATGAAAAATTATGTTTATTATTTTTCTCAACATAACTTTCCAAGAATCACTTTCAACATTGACAATAGACTTACTGGCACAGGAAAATTGATTGATTAATTATTAACACAAAAAAATAAGAAAATTTTTAGAAATTTAAAATAATATGCTAGAACATTTGAGAGTGGGCCACACAACTTCTCTGCTTCAACGTCATCTTTGGTTGGATCTTATGATCGAATCTTATGGGTACCACCGTAACTGTCTTATCTGTTGAGAAGGTAACATCAGCTCCATCAGATTAACCACTTAGTTACTGATAAGTTGTCTCAATCCGTTAGAAGACGATTATAATTTGTAAGTCCCGCCAACACTTATGAGACATCACACACAATCAAGCATATCTCTCTCTCATAGCTTGTATCTTCCGGCTCTTCCTACACTAAGTAATAAAATAATTAGGCGACCCTCACCTTTCAAAGTGGACATAGACCACATTGACCAAGCCACTCTACATTTTTATCTTGCTTGAGCTACTATCTCTCTACTTAATTACTTCATTACTTATCGGTCATTTGATGAATGGTGTAGAAAGACAATATGTTGAACATCATTAGGTATAATTTATTTTTAATTTTAGTACGGTTGAAATATGAAATAAATGTTGCTTCAGGAACATCACTTGCTTGAATAGCGCCTTCAGGCATTGACTGAGCACCCGCCTNTAAAGAGGCCTCCCAAAAATTTTCTGGTACTCAGCATGTACACGAGTAAGAGACAGATATCCTCCTGACGGTTCAAGCAACTGTACCAGCTGCCCCTTCAAACCATTTATATCTATAGGCTGTACCCACATCAAGTCATTTTGGTCACAAGAAGCAACAGGTCCGGCTGAAACTTCAATCAAACCAGAAGGGAGACTATGTGATCTCAAAGTTGTAGGAAAACAAGGCATGGATATTGAAGAACTATTGTATTCGGATAAAGACTGTGATATGGCCATTTCACCCATATAGTCTTCAAGATAACATTACAAGAGAATTTAATCTGCAACCAATCAAGAAAATCTTTTCCACCAGACTCATCAGGGGCTTTAGGTTTTACATTCCTAACTTGATACCGTAAAATACTGCATATCTTTTGTTGTGATCGTGCAGCAATTATGGTGAATAGTAAGGAATCAAACAATTAAGAAAGCAGGAGAAAATAACACACAGAGATTTACGTGGTTCGGCAATGTGCCTACATCCACGAGAGCTAGCGGCTGTTCTTTTCCTTATTGAAGTAAGGTTACATCTTAAGTATTTATATAACCCTAATATGGACATATTTACAAAAATACCCCTGTACCGTATCGCGGGGGCGTTGCCCCCGCACCCCCAACTTATCAGTGTCCCCTATATATAAATCCCGCAAAGCAGATGCCGTCACGGGCTCCGCTCCGACATCTGCCTCCTTGCCATTATGCACATAGCAAAATATGAGCCACACATACTCTAACATCCTTATAAAGACAGAATAAGAATTTAATATCCCCTCACCCGCTAGTCTTCGACATCTTTCTTTCCATAATTGCCAAAAGATAAGCAAAGGAATACTTCTAAATAAGCTGAAGTATTGGGGCATTAAGCTGAATTATATGCAACAACTAGAGCGTGGCCAATCTGTTTTCTCTGTACATCCAACGCCGAGGAGCAACGGCGAATATTTCCTTACCTTGAGTGACAATTATCAATAGAACAATTAAAAATTGACCAATACATACTAACCAATACATATGCATCTGGTATAACAACAGAAAGCAAATGGAGCATACCAACCAAGCTCTCTGCATATTTCGCATGCGCAAGCTTCGCCTCTGGAGGATCTTCTCCATGACAGACCCATCTAGGAAAGAATCTGGGTTTTCATCGGTATCCAGATCTTCAACCTGATTGTTTGACATTGTTTCATTTGAATTTCCATGGGGGTTTCCAGAACTCAGCTGCATTCTGTCAAGATGTTCCTAAAGCAAACCCTCTACTCTCCTTTGCAAACTTAGTGGTATAACCACCTGCACAAATGGGTCAAAAGCTTTCCAATCCTCACATGCTTGATGAGGTATGCCTGCCCCTCCCTCTCTCTCTCTCTTCAAAGTAGATGATTTTGCTGAGGTTTGTGATGACTTTGTTCACCTAGTGAAGCTAAAACTTGATTTTCTTGATTTTGAAAGTGAAAGTTTTTAGAAAAATTGTGTTTGGGTTTCAAGAGAGTTGGGAATTCTGAATTATATTGTTGTTAAAGGGTCTCTATCAGTTGAGTTGCATCAGATCTTTGAAAGAGTACACATCAAATGATTTATGGGTCAGAATTTTAGTCATGCGTTCTTTTCATCGAGTCTGGCTTGAAGAATTCAACTAAACCAATTCCATCAAATTCAAAAACACATAACATGTAAAATCACACCCAAACACATACATACATATGGAATAGATATACTGACCACTAGGGGTACTTGGGTTCCTCTCTTACCTTTCTTCTTAGCAGAATCTAGAACAAAGAACAGGTTTTAATGATTGATCTGATTTTGAGTTGCGCTAGGGTTTGATTTGAGGGGTTAAGCGCCGGATTAGCATCAGTTAAATCGATCTAGGGCAAAATTCGATTTTGGGCAAAAAATATTTAGGGCAAATATGGAGAATGAAGAATGGAGAATGGAGAATGGAGAAATTGCTCAATCGATGGTGGAGGCTGTGGTCAGTCTCTTTATTTAAGTCGCTGGTGGAGCATGGTGGAAGTCGTCGGTGGAGGTTGTGGTCGCTGGTGGTGGCTTTGTTGAAGTCGCTAGGTGGAGCTTGATTATCATTCATAATGATGTTTTTGAAAAAAAAAAATCAACTATAAATCGTCATTCTAAATGACGTTTTTAGGCAAAAAGGCGTCATTTCAAATGACGTTTTTAAAAAAAGACTGAATTTAAGAATTAAGTTTAAAAATAACTGGGTTATGGAATTTTGAGGGGGCATGAGTTTGGGGAAACCTCCAAATTTAAGAATACTCACTTTACATCTTCAAATATTAGATTTTTTATATTGTATCCTCAATATATTAAAAATATTACAATGTAATCCTTCTAATAATTTTCGCTATTTATTTTGTCAACGTCAATGAAATGAATTTTGATGGAATAAGTAGAAAAATAGAAAATTTTAAATCTTCTGGGTTGCAAAGTAAGATTTTCTAACCATGGCACACAGATTTGGTTATTATCTATGAGTTAAGACAAAGAAGATTCGTAATGTAGCGACTTCCTTGCCCCTTTTTATTTTTATTTTTTTTTGACACGAAACGAAAATTCTTTTGTTGATTAAGAAATAAAAATATCATCTTGGAGGATAGGTACCAAGAAATCCGGTTCGTTATTTTTTTCATATAATACGTTGAGAACATGAAGTAGCATATTTGACTAACGTATGCGTCGCACTATTTTCAGATCTTCGTACCCAAGAGACATTAAACTAATTTACACCATATGTGAATCTTTTAATTTGGTCAACAGAATGTCCAATTTCAGAGAGGTTGGTATGACTCGATTTGATTGCCTCAATAATTCCTTTTTCAATCACCTTCTAATATCATATTTTGATAACTCAGATCAATTGCAAATTTAGTGCCCATGAATGCAGCCCAAGCTTCAGCATGTAAAGCAGTAGTAATACCTTGAATGCATCGGCTAAGACTCGCCACAAATTGACAATTCCAATTTTGAACAACTTTTATACCAATTTTGAGAATGCCAGGACTGGGAGCAGTCCATTGTTAGTCTCAGCAACAATACACTGTTGTGAATCTTGCTGCCTATTTACATTAGCTGCTTACAAAATGGTCCAAGAAAGAAACAGAAATCCACAATCTGCTTTGGCTTTCTTTTGGGTTTGATTTAAGTAAGCTTCATCTTCCGGTACCGTGTAACCATTGGTTACAATCTCTCACAAGTCTAGAGATTCAAGAATCACTTTTACATGGATATACTAATTCTCATAATTATATTTAGTGAATCAAGACATTTGAAATGAAAGCATTCTATTCAACATCCTCTCTCTCTCTCTCTCTCTCCCTTGACACTCAAATATGTATAGCTCTGATACCATTTTGTCTGAATCAAGAGAATCATCATACACTTGAACAAGTATACTCATCTACATACTTTTATCTAATTTTTACTTTTTACTCCTATTTGACTTTTAACTTGTTTTGGACTCTTTTATAAAAAAATTTAAATTCTTTTAAACACATTTATTAGCAATAAAATTATATACAACTTTCTATATACATATGAAAAAGTAAAATNTTGTTGTGATCGTGCAGCAATTATGGTGAATAGTAAGGAATCAAACAATTAAGAAAGCAGGAGAAAATAACACACAGAGATTTACGTGGTTCGGCAATGTGCCTACATCCACGAGAGCTAGCGGCTGTTCTTTTCCTTATTGAAGTAAGGTTACATCTTAAGTATTTATATAACCCTAATATGGACATATTTACAAAAATACCCCTGTACCGTATCGCGGGGGCGTTGCCCCCGCACCCCCAACTTATCAGTGTCCCCTATATATAAATCCCGCAAAGCAGATGCCGTCACGGGCTCCGCTCCGACATCTGCCTCCTTGCCATTATGCACATAGCAAAATATGAGCCACACATACTCTAACATCCTTATAAAGACAGAATAAGAATTTAATATCCCCTCACCCGCTAGTCTTCGACATCTTTCTTTCCATAATTGCCAAAAGATAAGCAAAGGAATACTTCTAAATAAGCTGAAGTATTGGGGCATTAAGCTGAATTATATGCAACAACTAGAGCGTGGCCAATCTGTTTTCTCTGTACATCCAACGCCGAGGAGCAACGGCGAATATTTCCTTACCTTGAGTGACAATTATCAATAGAACAATTAAAAATTGACCAATACATACTAACCAATACATATGCATCTGGTATAACAACAGAAAGCAAATGGAGCATACCAACCAAGCTCTCTGCATATTTCGCATGCGCAAGCTTCGCCTCTGGAGGATCTTCTCCATGACAGACCCATCTAGGAAAGAATCTGGGTTTTCATCGGTATCCAGATCTTCAACCTGATTGTTTGACATTGTTTCATTTGAATTTCCATGGGGGTTTCCAGAACTCAGCTGCATTCTGTCAAGATGTTCCTAAAGCAAACCCTCTACTCTCCTTTGCAAACTTAGTGGTATAACCACCTGCACAAATGGGTCAAAAGCTTTCCAATCCTCACATGCTTGATGAGGTATGCCTGCCCCTCTCTCTCTCTCTTCAAAGTAGATGATTTTGCTGAGGTTTGTGATGACTTTGTTCACCTAGTGAAGCTAAAACTTGATTTTCTTGATTTTGAAAGTGAAAGTTTTTAGAAAAATTGTGTTTGGGTTTCAAGAGAGTTGGGAATTCTGAATTATATTGTTGTTAAAGGGTCTCTATCAGTTGAGTTGCATCAGATCTTTGAAAGAGTACACATCAAATGATTTATGGGTCAGAATTTTAGTCATGCGTTCTTTTCATCGAGTCTGGCTTGAAGAATTCAACTAAACCAATTCCATCAAATTCAAAAACACATAACATGTAAAATCACACCCAAACACATACATACATATGGAATAGATATACTGACCACTAGGGGTACTTGGGTTCCTCTCTTACCTTTCTTCTTAGCAGAATCTAGAACAAAGAACAGGTTTTAATGATTGATCTGATTTTGAGTTGCGCTAGGGTTNTGTTCTTCGATTGTGTGTGTTTGTTAGTGGATTTAAATCGAGTTAAATCCCAACAGACCACATAAGTTCAACCCATGACTAAACCTCCTTNTTTTAATGATTGATCTGATTTTGAGTTGCGCTAGGGTTTGATTTGAGGGGTTAAGCGCCGGATTAGCATCAGTTAAATCGATCTAGGGCAAAAAATATTTAGGGCAAATATGGAGAATGGAGAATGGAGAAATTGTTCAATCGATGGTGGAGGCTGTGGTCAGTCTCTTTATTTAAGTCGCTGGTGGAGCATGGTGGAAGTCGCNTTTGATTTGAGGGGTTAAGCGCCGGATTAGCATCAGTTAAATCGATCTAGGGCAAAATTCGATTTTGGGCAAAAAATATTTAGGGCAAATATGGAGAATGAAGAATGGAGAATGGAGAATGGAGAAATTGCTCAATCGATGGTGGAGGCTGTGGTCAGTCTCTTTATTTAAGTCGCTGGTGGAGCATGGTGGAAGTCGTNGACCAGTTAATATTCGAGCAACCGGAGATTATAAGTGTCTTAAGAAATGTCAACATAAAAATGTTTTTGGGAAGCCCCTTAAGGTTTTTGCAATTTTTTAGATTCAAGAGAATGAGTCCTTCTAGCTCCCCAATTNGATGGTGGAGGCTGTGGTCAGTCTCTTTATTTAAGTCGCTGGTGGAGCATGGTGGAAGTCGTCGGTGGAGGTTGTGGTCGCTGGTGGTGGCTTTGTTGAAGTCGCTAGGTGGAGCTTGATTATCATTCATAATGATGTTTTTGAAAAAAAAAAATCAACTATAAATCGTCATTCTAAATGACGTTTTTAGGCAAAAAGGNTGAAGTCGCTAGGTGGAGCTTGATTATCATTCATAATGATGTTTTTGAAAAAAAAAATTCAACTATAAATCGTCATTCTAAACGACGTTTTTAGGCGAAAAGGANGCCCATGGGAATGGCTAAGATCAAGTATTTTCAGTTGCTTAAGGATCTGGAAAAAAAGAAGTAGCAAACAGTAAATTTGTACACACAATAATTCCAGAAAAAAAAAAAGAAGGAAATTAAAATAGATGAATTACCTTCGTTCCTTTCCAAACTTGTTTCAAGCTGCTATACTGCATATCAACAANGTCATTTCAAATGACGTTTTTAAAAAAAGACTGAATTTAAGAATTAAGTTTAAAAATAACTGGATTATGGAATTTTGAGGGGGCATGAGTTTGGGGA